AAAGAAAGGGGGACACCAGGGATGAATCGCACCATCTGCCCCCTCCCTACACCGATGTCACTGCCCACCCGGGGAACAAATTGAAAGAAACACTGCAAGCCAATACATGGCCCAAGATCGGGGGTGGGGCTAGTGTAGGCACAATGTGTGTACTTGTATATTAACTAAATTTAAAAAAATTATAATATCTTGTTAACATGTAATCAGTGGCGTAGCTAGGGGAGGAGGAGGGGGGTCCAAAGTCGAAAGTCCCCCCCGGGCCCCTACTTGAGGGGGGCCCCCAAAGGCGCGTCCGAAAATATTTTTTACATTAAATAATGTTGAATGTCAAAATGCAGGGGCCCCTCAAGAGGCCAACCCCTGGGCCCCCAAATCCCTAGCTACGCCACTGCATGTAATACTTGTAAAATTGAAATTTTCAATGTTATGTATAATAATTTACCATTTGCTTCATAATATATTTGAAAACTATTACCTTTGTCAAGATTTGCTTTGTATACCTGTTGGATAATTGACCTAAAAAGATAAAATATGTAGGCTACTGAAGTTTAAAAAATTGTTTTTAATGAAATCATTTTCAATTTTAATCTTTTTAAACCTTTTTTTTTGTTTGTTTTCATTTACAAAGGGCCTCCATCTTATTTGTAATCAGAACACAACTCAACTACACACCTCCAGGCCGTGTGCTTTAAAAGTTCAACCTTTTTATTGCAGGCTTCCTTGTTATTTCTAAGAGATGATCTACTTTATAAAACCTTGACTAGACATGTACAGCTAGATTCATAGTTGGGTTTTTTTTTATTTTGTCAGTGAAGTTTTTAATGAGACTCTTAATGCTAATAGGGTTTCCTACACTATTATTAACAATGACTATTTCCTTTCACAGATCGGCTATACACAGATAAACATGAGTGGGTTACAATAGAGAAAGGAAAAGGAACAGTTGGAATTTCAGAGTATGCCCAGGTACAGTAATGATAAAATATAAAAGTTTTTAATATTTTGGAATAGTGAAAAACACAAGTATTCCTTTTTTTAGTTTGTAACATTTGTAGATTTGAAATAAAGATTGTAGACCTGTTTACTCTTACGATTTTGGCATACATTGTACGATTTTGAGGTGTATACATTATATTTATATATACTGTATGTTTAATTTTTTACTATTAAGATAATGTATTGAACGATTTTGTGTTGATATTGTACGATTTTAAGAGTTTGAGGGTAAACAGGTCTGTGATTGTTTCCTTTTAAAAGAGAAACCAATTAACTATGATTTCTTTTTTTATAATTAAAAGCTCTTTCCACATGGAAATTCAGTTATTGTGTCAAGGGATTGATGTGCAATTTAACTTTAAATGAAAAGCGGTGGTTTCCAACCGGTGCTCCAGGAATTATAAGACATAGTTTATGGCTAAGGCTACAACCCCCCACTCCCACCCTAGCATACAAATATAACCACAGAAATCAAAATAGGGCTCCACGAGTCAAAATAGGTTGGAAACCACTGAATTAAAGAAACCTTTTTTTTTTTCTGATTGTCATTGATGTATTTCCAAATCACCTTATGGCATAAATCATGCAGAAAATGGTCAGGTTATTTTTAATGACTATACATTTTTTAAAAAATTTGTATGATGATAATGATAAATGATAGAGATTTCGTCATGACATTAATACCATCCACATTTGAAGTGATATCAAAAGTGAGCTAAGCCTAGTCAATTTTTGAATGAAGTAAGTCTAAACATAACTTTCATTATGCCAGATACATATCGTGTTTTGGTGGTAACAATAAGTGTCAGCCTAAAAAATATTTATTGGTCAAGTTCTCTGTGCAATATTTCCAAGATGAAATACGTTGTTAAAACTAAGACAATGTCTGTAAATGCAGACCAACATTTAATGCCATATCATTCTTTGATTTTTATCAGGAGCAACTTGGTGAGATTGTTTTTGTAGAGCTGCCTGAAGTTGGAGCTAAGCTAGAGCCTCACGGTAAGAATTACAGTCATTTCTCGGGTAAAGTGAGCAGTGATTCGACTTAATTGTATACAATTTCAGTTAAGCTGCCAAAAAAAATTTTTCTATCTTTATTTAATTTTTAAAAAAAAGTTTTTTGCACATACTAACCGTTTGCTACACCAATAAAAAGCCTAAAAAGATATAGGCCTACTGGTTTATTTTTACTGTGCACACACACAAAAAAAAGGTAATTTTATACCAATGTTGACACTCCAAATTTATTGAAGCTAACTGGTTTGCAATGTCTGGATGAAACTTTGCACACTCATTAAGAATAACATTGTTAAAACAATGACTCCAGCTCACTGCATCACACTCATTGAGAAAATATAGAGAATTTCTACAGAAATGAGCATACAAAGTCTGACGTCCCTGAAAATGTGAAAATTCTAAGTTGATACAAATTTAATCATTTAATGCTTATGCCATTTACATCCTCCTTTCAAAAAGACAACAAAGAAACAAGACTCTGTTCATAATTGCAACTCTCACTTAAGAATTCAACAGTTCATTCTTACCACACTATTATTCGATGAATGTCTTGCTACAGACTATTTTTAAGGTACAGCGAAAAACCCTATCAAAGGTGACGTTCTTTAAAAAAGTGGAAAACTCTTTTAATCCATACCAAATCACCATAATCCCATTTTTGGATAAAAATGAAAAAAGGATGGATTTTTTTTTATCCGTGGACCACCATAAAATATAATTTAGCTGTGATTTGTAATTATATTTAAAATTCTCCAACAATCAATTAAAATGAGTGTCTAATGACTTTCTCTACTATTTGTTTAAAGATGTGGCTGGATGTTTAGAGAGTGTCAAAGCTGCCAGTGAAGTCTACAGTCCAGTAGGGGGCACAGTTACTGAAGTCAACAAGAGACTAAGTGGAGAGCCTAAACTGGTCAACTCGGCTCCCCTCACAGATGGTCAGTTCTTTTTTCTTCCTAGGACAGCTGTCAGTATTTCATATAGTGCAAATGGTGTTGTCAAAATCATAGCTCACAAAACACATAGGTTTGGCATTGTCTGATATTTATGACTATAAGCTTCCATTGAGTGCAAGGAAGAAAAATGACTCGTGTTCAAGGATGTCTTCTTTGGTAGAATCTGCCATCTCCACAAGTCTAAACTTCACAGGGTTCTTAGATAGCACCAGCATATTTACTTTGGGTTGCTGTTCGTTTTATATATTTGAGATGCTAACATTTTCATTGCAGTAACGAATAATTGCCCAGCTTTTGTTTAAAGCATAAATCAAAACCTTCAAAAGCAACTACGTTTTTTAGCTGTATACTTTTTCTCTTTTTGCGACCCAGTAAATTGCTTTCATGCCCTGGTCCTCTTTAAGGAATGATCTTGTCTTAGTTAATTTCAAATCTACATAATCTACAGTTATTCATATTTAATGATGAACACAAACACACCCCCAGCCTCCTAACCCCCCCCCCCCCCACCCCCCCGACTGATTGCACAAAACTGGACCTTGCACTAATAGATATTTTAAAATTTAACTCCCCCCAGGCTGGCTGTACAAACTGGACCTTGGTCCCAACACCAAATCAGAAGATCTACTGGATGAAAAGGCTTACAAGGCACTCATTGGCTCTCTTGATACCAACTAGTGAAACACATGATGTACTGGAGATGATCTCAGGGCCTTAACACTATTATACATAGTGGGATTAATTTCTTTATACAAGTCTCAATTAAAGCTCTGAATATTTGAGAGGTTTGCGTTGTCAGTATTGAACAGACCAATTGCTATATTGAACTGGTGATTTTTTTTTTTTAATTTTGAACAGAGTTGATATTGATCTGATCAGTTGATATTTTTTTGGTGAATAAGAATAATGTTTAAACAAGGCATTTCTATTAACAATGGTTCTACAAGTTTACTCAACTACCAGTACCAAATCTTTGTTGGCAGTATTATTTTATTCCAATTCTCAGTATGTATGGGTCGTATGCACTTAGTACTTCCATTTACCTATCAACTTTTTTTTTCCAGAACATGTCATTCATATTGTGATATAAATTGGTCCCATTTATTTTTAAAATGATTATTACTAATTGATTCAGATTCAATGCTCTCTAACTAATATTTAATTGATCAATAAATCTCAACTAGTGTTATGCCTGGTTCATTTCTTTTCATAATCTTTGATGTCACAATTTCAATTGTATGTTTTGAGGTGGACTGTTGTGATGATTTATCATAAACCACATTGTATAATTAGAAATGATAAACAGACCAGCTATTATGATTATGTTGTAAGGTGTTGATTGTTCTGCTGTTTGTATTAGATGATTGCAATGTGTGAGTTGCTACAATAGGAAATAAAGTGTTGATTTATTAATAGACCTATCCATTTGATAAAAATGTTACAATGCTGCTGCACTTGGTTAAAACACTACTATAATCCACAAAAGAAAGTTTACTTTCTTGAATAGTTGAAATTGTTGAATGTTATTGTACAATCTGTTAGTTGAAATTGTTGTACCAGTACAAACAGATTTTTTTTTTGTTTTCTTCGTGGTATAATTTCTATTTTCTGGGTTTTCCCGGTATAATAATTCAATAAAATTAAATGCAAAGGGTATTCTATCTCTCTGTCTTTTTGTTTTGTAAAACTTTTCTTTTTTTTTTTGCAAAGTGCTCACAAAACATTTAAAGTTCTTATATACAGCTACATGAAAGGCAAACAATATAATGTTCAGCTTCAGTACTGCACTTACTGTAGTAATTAATGGATATAAATGAAACAGAGCTGAGATTCATATTTTAAAATTAGAAATATTTCTTGATAAAATATCACAGTTAGTGTTACTAAAATTAAATTAATTTTTTTTTTAAACTAAAAATAATGCACATTTGCAATAATTTTATAGAGACGCCTAAGACAACGTTTTTTCTGGATGTCATGCTTTTAAGCTGGCAGATTATGAATTATGTCTCATAAAATAAATCTTACTAATACAAAAAGGACAGAAATTTTAATTTACGGACTGTGCAATTAATTTTTTAATTGAAACATAAAATCAACAACAAATGATTGTGTGCAAATAATAAAACTAATGAAATCCAGAATGAAGCAGTGTCAAGTGCATGAGGTTGTACTAATTTTTAGAGTCCTTTCATCTTTTTAGTCCATTGCTATGACAAGAGTACAAGAGATGCCATTCACATTTGTTGCACCAGGCCCCAAGTTTGCTTGAACATCACATATAAGTTTTATTAGTATACAGATGTCTTTCAAGATTTTTAATTATCCAATTATGATACATATTGTCCAAACAATGATTTCCCTAAACTAAAAGCAAAGAGAGAACAGAGAATTGCATATTTTAATAATGAACCGAAGTTTTTTATGAGTATTACATTAGATAAGTATTTTCCATTAAAATTATTAGAATTCCCTTTTGCATTACACAAGCCATTCAATGCATTTCTAAGAACCATTAACTCAAAATTATTTGACCAGCCCCAAGTCTTGCAATCCTGGAAAGTATTCAATAAAAAGATAAAATCAATTCAGTACGAAGTAATCAAACAGATTTTATAAAAAGACTCTATGAGGAAGTATAAAGCAACACAATGAAATGGAACAAAGTATAATTTACAATCTCTTCAAAAATTCAAAGGCAAGCTATCTCCTACTATGTACACACATACATAACACGTAAAAACAATTTTAATACCAACTTGCTAATCATTTATAATGATTTTTAAAAGTACATGTCAATTCCTCTTGAAAGAACTAACAAAATTAAGGTCAAATAACAATCCTGATGCCTAAAGTTTTCTTGAACTCAAAGTAATGTTCTCTCCACATGCAATAACTAGCTCACTTCCAAAAGATAGTGTTCAGCAAAGTCTTTCAGTGCTTGTATGTTTTCAAAACATAAATGGTATTGTGTCATTTTATATTGCCTTTAATATTTTGATATTTTTAACAACTGGTTCAGTACAATATTCTATATTTAGCAACATTATCTCACACTAATGTCAATGAGACTTCATCAAGAATGCTAATCTGACAGCAAGTCAAATGAACTTTTTTTCTATTAAAAAATAAAGCAGTGGTCTTCCAACTAGGTGGGATGTCCTCCTTTGAGAACTTTGGGGCGGGGGGGGGAAAAGTTTCATGTTAATCTTTAGGTACACATACGTGTGTTGCCCATATTTGTTAATGAAATAAGGGGAAGCCATTTTTTTTGTTTCTTTTTAGTATTTGAGGTACATTAACATACAGTTTGAGAAACCACTGCCTTCAAAAATACTTTATAATATTAAAATGATTTTTAAAAAAGATGCACACCAAATTATACTATTTATTTCATGTAACATTTCAGTCATTTTTGTTTACTTTTCAAAAGTTATTTGATCTGCTATCAGCTTCCTGATTTTTATTCCTGAAATCTAATGAACAAGGAAAAAAATGATAGCTTAATGATTGAGGAGAACCAAGACATTGTGTTTCAATTAAACATATTTTTTTACAATTTATTTTTCAGCATTGTTTATAAAATATATTCAATGTTAGAATCCCACAAATAAATACCTGCAGAGAAGCACTGGAAATGTTCTGCTCCAAAATCCTCAAGAGTCATACCTTATACATACATATATATTTTTTACCAATTTAATTAACATGTACATAAGACATGTTTTCCGAATATTCTTTTAAGATTTTATATATGAACTGTGTATGTTCTTCTTTTAAATCATTAACTTAAAAGTGAAGTAAAAAGCTTCAATTCATCATACATATGGTTTAAAAATTCTTCAGACATAAATTTGTCAAATTAAAAAAGATTTTCAAAGTCACGCCTGGCCAAAACACCTAATCTCTGCACCAGATTCTCTCCTTGTCATGACTGATCAAGGGAAATACAAACATGCCAACTTAAATTCCTCCCATTCTACAAACATGTTCTGAAATAATAGCCCAAAAATATTTACATAGATGAATTAGTTTTTATCGTCCCTGATTGTGAATTTCTTTTAAGTATATACCTCAGGAAATTTTTTAAAAACTTAACAAATCAAAACTCTTGCTGTTCATTGCCAAAACTATGCGATCTTTATTTGTTAGGTGAAGCTCCCTGTAGGAAAGAACCTCAAATTATTTTAAAAGTTATCTGAATGAGACCCTATAATTTCTGGAGGGTTGGAGAAACATATTGAAGGATGTCACAATTTCTTTTTAATTTGAAATATTTTTGTCATTACAGATGGATGCACTTTCAGTAATGACTGGGAACAAATATTTTTCTCAAGACTTTTTTTTTTTTTTTAATTAAACCTATTAAACATTTTTTCCAGAAAACAATGTTCACACATTTGTACAAAACTTACAACCTGTTGTTTTACAAATCTACTTTTGCTCCCATCCCCACCGGAATAGCTTTCATCTCAGACCTCATGCATAAAAACTCCGCCGTCACGGTTGTCAGTGCCACACAGACGATGTTGGTGACCCACCACCAGAACGTCACAGGTACGTAGCCGAAGTAGATCCAACAAAAGATGAAGTGGAAGACATGGACGGTGGCCGTGAAGTCTAAGCACTGCTTGGTCCTCCCCACAACACTCCACATGATGAATGAACTGGGAGAACATGGAAGGCACTTTAAAATAAACTTAAAGGATCATGTTTAAAGCATTGAATCAATCCATGATGCGTGTTACCTTCACTCTATGTAACATTCAATAACTAGAACTTGATTTACACTTTAATTTTCATTTTAATCATAACTGCTGCTCTCAGTTTCAACAAGCTTCTGAATATTTGCTTAGGAAAAAATATAACAGGGGTTCCGAAACTTTGTTGGGTGGGATTCCCAATAATTGTTTGGGTTGTTTCCATGAAAGGAGCGTTAAAAGAGTTGCCTATAAGAAAATATATCATTATTAATGATATTACTTTTTATTTTACCTTAATTGGTTTAATGAAGGAAACAGAATCAAGGAAACATTCAGATAGACTTTTTGGTAAGCGGACAGCATTCAAGACCAAAATGATTTAGACGATGATCTTTTAATCAAACGTGGCAGTGAGGAATAAGGAATACATGCTCCAAGTGTCGGTGCTGTGGATAACCCCAGGCACGTACAGACCGCTGGGCCTTAAATTCATTGTTTGGTCATTCACACCCCCGAAGGACCATCCCCATCCCACGGTTGACCCATGAACAACTCGTGACGCTGACATCATTGTGTCCATGTACAGCAGGCTATATAATATAAGGAAGTTTTGACTCATTTGGAATTGATACTTGTAGCTAGCAGCATTTGGTTTTTAGTTATTTCATTGTGGCCATTCTGAAAGTAGCAATATGCATTTTATATCTAAAGCATTATTTTGTAGAGCAAATTTTATTTTTATTTTGGTGTAATGGGCGATTCCTGTTCATAACGGTTCATGTTTTAAGTTAGTTACACCTCGAGCTCATAGAACAGCTCATAGAACGAAACCCGTTTACAATATCGCCATAGTTAAACATACAGCCACACTGCATGTCTTTTACAGATCCATGTGTACACCAGTATCCACTTAGCTATTGTATTTGCTGTAGATGTACTGTCATGATTTGAGACTTACATTGACCTGGTACTGTGTGTGCTTGTGTAATACAGTCATATTATTGTAGTCAACCTACGGCCACTTTTCAGTTTTGTCCCCCCTGGATGCAAACGGGAACGCTTTTTTCTTCATAAAATTATTTTAGGCCCTTTACATATTTGAGACACCCTGGAGCTGCTGGGGTTGCAGGGCCCACACGATGGCTCTGACAATGACAGAAAAATAAGTGTAGATAAGACTTGCTGGTGAGGGTTAAAAGGTTAAGAAATTTGGATATTTGGATAAAAATAAATCTTGCATAAAACTTCATCATGAACAGTTGAAATGAGCTCATCAGCCCATCAAGCCAGATATAGTTTGGGACATAAAACATGATAATAAACTGCAATGATTAGGATCAGAAGCCAGCTTTTTGTAGGACTATTGCTATCCAGAGACCCAAAAAATAAAAATTAAGATAGGTGTCTCAAAGGAGAAAATGGTCATGTGCAGACGGCAAATACCTACACTACAAGTTGGTACGTAGGACTGCAAATTAACAGTTAATGCTTTAGGCCAAATATTTAAATATTTATTTCCAACTTACACTGTCAAACTGTTGAATGCAAACGCAATAATATTTGTTCTGCCAGAGTCCTCATAGAGACCAAGATCCTACAGAAAGAAACAAAGAGATCATTGGTAACAGCAACAAAATAATATATAAAAAATTACATAATTTAAGATTGATAGATGTAACATTTTTAGTTTAGATTTAGTGGTAGAGTTAATTGGGTCTTACTTTTTATTCGCACTTGATTTATCAGCTGCATTATGAGGCACAGTTAGGCCATGGTCTTTCATTTTGTACAACAAATAATACGCAAAGGTACAATATAAATCTCATGTACTTTAGCTGAGCTTGTGTCCCAAATTGATTATACTGAACACAAATTGTATTCAAATAATACAATAGATAAGAATGAGATAACATATTACATAAGTAAGTGAAGGCCCTGATGATTTGATGCCTCTCTGAATATGTCAATTATAAAATTATATTAAAAAACTTAAATATTAAAACATTTTTACAATAGAATGTAATTGTCCTGTAGATGAATACCGCTAAAAAAAACTCAGAAATAATATTCACATTGGTTACTTACACTCTGAGTAAAAATTTGCTCTACAGAAAGGTCAAATTTCCCTATGACATCTAGAACAAATATCCACATGCCCAATGAGAAGTACCAAAAACTGACCATGGCTATAATCTGGGCAGTGATGAGAATGGGATCCCATTGGAAACTGCGAAACTGAAACAATTACAATCATTATATGGCTAGGCATGGAATATTAAACGCACACAATGATTAAAAATTAATAAATGGAATAAATCTTCTATACTTTGAGTGCCCACAATCAATGTATGTCATCATGTTCTACTGACCATTGATAACACTAGAATCCTGAGTAGCATATTATCTTATAAAACTCCATCCTGCTTGATGACACAGACAGTGTTTTAATCTCTTACCTGCCCCGCCATGCTTGACCAAGGAAATCTCATCAGATGTAGCATATCATTGAAGTTTGTTCATAAAAACAAAGTCTACAAACAGGACATTTCTGAAAATTGCAAGAAAACAACCCGTACTACAACAACTGTTAGATTTCATGTGACAAATCTGTCAATGTATACAGGAAAAGAAAGTCTACTTTGCAGTCCTAAACTCAGCCTCATTTAAATAGATTAATAAGACACGAACAAATTGTGTCAATAGAACAATATGAGTTAGCTTTAATAATAATTATACATTATACAAAATTAAACGTTTCGGCACATGCCTTCATCAGTACAAACAAACAAAACACATTTAAATAAGTATAAATTAAATTTACATAATATCAATATACATATCCTACCTAAAACAGAAAAAATATAGGAGAGGGCGCTAAAACCAGACAAAAACAAAGTAAAGAGAAGCAGAAAGGAAGGGATTTTAACATTTAAATAGTTTGTATCAATCGTTAAAACTATCGGATTTTAATAAAGTTTTAAAACTAGTATAATTATCTTACTAGCTGCTATAAATAAAGTATGACAAAGTCAGTCAGTATGAGTCCCCAAATTCTAATACATATATGTAATCATTGGTATACAATATACCAAATATAAATGGAACCTCTATTTTTGTAAGCTTTTTCCTCTTGGAAATGTTCATGATTTTTGTAATCCTTTGGAATTATCCAAGGAAAACAACTGTTGGGAGCTTCAAAATGAAGACGCTGAAACAATGGAGGAAGGATCGAAGGAAGGTTCCACACTTACAGCTGACATACATTAAGGTAATGGTGTTTAAACTCTACCTGGTTGAAAACCCAAAATGGCTTGAAAAGTATTACCCAAATGCTCTTTTATTCAACCAAAACATAAACAGACTACTTTCAACAACAGACAGATATGGGCAACATTAGACAAGTTCTTTGTGGTCAAATCAAGTGCTGCTGAATCATTATCAAAACAAAACCCATGATGTTTTAACTGATGTTTACTTAACTCCTGTGAGCAATAATCATTTCCTACTCTTCAGCTTCTGCCATTGACATCATCTCTACTCTAAGCAATATTCCGGTAAAGTCATGATAAATTCTTTCTTTTTATTTTTTTTTTCATTTATTATATTACATGAATGACTTTGACTTTGTGATCTCTGTCAATTTAGTTTACAAAGAGGCTGTGTACACCGCAGCAGTGTACCTAGCAAAACCATTGACCTAGGCCTGCGTATACTGTGGCGGAGTAACTAGCAAAACCATGGACCTAGGCCTGGGTAAACTGCAGCGCGTACCTAGCAAAATCATGGTCCTAGGCCTGCTTACACCGTAGTGGTGTACCTAGCAATACCATGGACCTAGGCCTGCATACACTGAAGCAAAGTACCTAGCAAAACCATGGACCTGGGCCTGCGTACACTGTGGTGGTGCACCTAGCAAAGCCATGGACTTAGACCTGAGAACAACATGGCAGTGTGCCTAGCAAAACCATTGACCTAGGCCTGCATACAACACAGCGGTGTACCTAGCAAAACCATTGACATAGGCCTGCGTACACCGTGGTGGTGCACCTAGCAAAGCCATGGACTTAGACCTGAGAACAACATGGCAGTGTGCCTAGCAAAACCATTGACCTAGGCCTGCATACAACACAGCGGTGTACATAGCAAAACCATTGACCTAGGCTTTCCTACACCGCAGCGGTGTACCTAGCAAAACCATGGACCTAGGCCTGCATACACCGTAGTGGTGTACCTAGCAAAATCATGGACCTGGCCTGTGTACACTGTAGCAAAAATACTTTTGGCCTAGTCTTGATACATGACTAATATATATGACCTTGTGTGGTTTTCTGGTCGAGTATACAATTTTCAACTTGAGTAGTAGCCTTGGCTTGAGATGTATTTTGTTTAAAGTAAGGGAGACTTGCTCAATTCATCAGCCTCACTCTCTCGTCCTTGCCTATTTGATCCAATAGCATGACTTAAACAAGACGACTATAAATTATAAATAGACCAGGATGCAGTAGATGACGAGCTGTAGCAGCAGTGTGTGTTTGTGTTTTGACTGTGCTAACAAGATGATTTCATACTTGGGGATCGATTCTCAGTACTGCTACACCTTCTTCTTTATCTTGCTTTGCATCTCAATTAAAAATATATTTAATACCAGTAATAAAAAATTGTATGTTCATTTGTAACAATTTTTATTTATTTTTTATTTTGCTGCAATATAAATATACTTTACGAGTCGTTTATTAAGTGTTGTAACTTGTAGATGATGAGTTGGCATTGAAACTCATAAATTGTTAAGATAAGCCCCAAATCAGTACCGGGTACCAGCTGCTCCCAAAAATGTTTTACAGTGAAACCATTGATTAGCACAAACTCTTGGAACCAAAGAAAAATTTGTGCTATTTGAAAGGGTGGTGCTATTTCCAGGTTCAGCCAGCATCATAATCATGCTCAAAAGTTTGAAAAAAAACGTGTGGCATTGTATGCCATAGAACACAACACTAACACCATTGTGGCTGTGGAATTTGACAGTGGTCAGACACTACCAAGCCGGCCTTTAATTAATGAATCATTTTTTGGGGGCTGAGTACAGATAATGAATAGGCCTTTTACTACTATTATGGCTATTAATATATTATGGGAAAAAATTTCTATAGACTATAGCTTATAGGATAGTCTATATTTCCACTGTCCATAGTAACTAGAAACTGATATAGAGGTTCCACTGTAGGCTACATTACCTTACTACAAAGTGTAACAAAGTGAAAGACTTGAAAGCACATGCCTTAAATTAAAAAATCTTATCAAGTTAAGTCTAAATAGTTAGTCTAAGTCTTAAATTTAAGTAAGTTGTAATTGTAAGGTTAGTAACTTACTTAGTAAGTTTAATTTAGTTCTTACTAACTTAGTAGTGAATTAAAATAGAGATAAAATATATGTAATTTAGTTGTTTACCAACGAGAGTGTATATCAGCACCGAAGCACATTCAAACGTTATATCTCAAATAATAAATATTCCTATTGTTAATTGCTATGTACCGATTGTTCTAAATATAATTATTTACATCTGAATGATCTGAGGGAATGTTTACGCTGCCAACTTGGAAGTCGCCATCTTAACGAAGGGAGGTGATGCAGAATCTAAAAAAAAGGTTTATTATTCTTTGGCCTTTTTTAAAACTCATTATTAGATTTATTTACCGAAACAATACCAATACAAAACAATTTTTTTTTTATTGAACACGATACATAAATTATCTGTTCTATATATCTGATAAAAATGCACTTTTCTTGTAGGTGAAGTGTGTGTTTTTGTTGCTGTTCAATTAGAGTATAGAGTAAAACCTGTATAAAATCAGAAATTATTCAGATAGTGACTTTCTTATTTTGACTGCCTAGAGTCTAAGTTAGTCTAAGTCTAGAGTGCGGTACCAAATAGAAGAGTAGAGAGCAGAAATTTGATCCACACTGACCACATCATCAAACTCAAGCCATCTTTAAACAAATTTAGGATTTTACAACATAAATATATTTATCATTATTGGAATCTGTAACAAAAATCAAGTACTTACAAAGGTGGGTTATTTTTGTACTTGCAGATTCATGGAATTGACAGAGCAAATGTTTGACCAATGAAGTCATTTATCTGCCACTCTGCAAGAAAGCTTAAGTGTCTTAAGTCTTTGTTTCTATTCTCTTCTACTTCTAGTCAGTTGTTGGAAAATGACAAAATACTGAATATTACTTATCCTTGTTTTGCACACCACATTGTTTGTTGTGTTCTCATATTTTTATGTCTTGTGGTTTCCATGTTGGTAGGACTCCCATCAGTGGCGTAGCTAGGGTTGGTGTCATCCGGTGCGGTAAACTCATGGTGTCACCCCCCCCCCCAAACTTCTATGATCGATTTTTTCTTGTTAAAATAAGTCCACAGTATAGCATTACCTTGAACTTTTAATAAAGCACGCATTTGGATTGGTTAAATTTTTGAAAAATATATAGGTTGGTGTCATCCGGTGCGGTAAACTCATGGTGTCACCCCCCCCCCCCAAACTTCTATGATCGATTTTTTCTTGTTAAAATAAGTCCACAGTATAGCATTACCTTGAACTTTTAATAAAGCACGCATTTGGATTGGTTAAATTTTTGAAAAATATATGTGTTATCGCTTATCCTTTTATTAATCTCGATTTTTGCGAGCAATGTGTGCCCTGTAAATATGCAATTTTTCAATCGGGTGTCACCCCTAAAATGGTGTCATCCGGTGCGGTCCGCACCCCCAGCACCTGCCTCGCTACGCCACTGACTCCCATGTTGTTCTCAAACAATAAAACGTTGAACTAACCTTGATGGTTGTCTATGCTTATTTGAGTATCTTCCTTGTGAAGTAACTTAGCAATTTGATATATTTTCAACAGTTTTAGGATAATTCAATTATTTTCTTTTTGTAAATGGTAAGGTAATATTTAAAATTTCCTGTCTCCCAGTGACAATTTTTTTATGAGTAATTGAATTGACATTATTTAAAGTAAAAATATCCCATTGACTTTATTCAAAATAAAGGCATGTCTAAATCAAAGATTTTTATTTTAAAAAATGTAAACTTAATTTAATTCATTTATTTCAATAAGTATTAATTCCTGTTTCAAAAAATAAACACTTGTGTTTTAATTGACTATTTAAACTAATATTTATAAAATAAAAACATTGCACAATGAATAAAATGTATGTAAAAAAGTTTTATTACATTTGAGAACGAATATGTTGTGTAATTAATGTCAACAACACAATAAATACACTTCAAAATGCCTTTATAAATATACCTTGATGGCATGTTAATACTTGGTCAAACAATAAAACTGAAAATAACATTTCAAAATTTACATTTATAATACTCTTTTAACACAATGGCACTGAAAATTGCAAGTCATCGGTTACAATATTTAGATTTTTAAAATACTAAAACTAAACTTTTAAAAAAATATATCTTACGATAAATGATCACCATTCCATCCTCATTATCACTATTGTGTGACCACAAAATGTTTTGTTGAATTTTTACAATAGTGCTTTTCCATATGTTTAAATTTAATACCTTACTCAAAAAGTATCTATTTTAATACCTCAGATTTATATCTTTTCTGTAGGCTTCCCCATGGGATGCAACGAATGCTAAATATTATTGAAAAAGGAAAATCAATTGAGATATTTGACTAGATTTTTTTCTGTTTCTTGTTCAATTGTATGAGGCAACAATTGAGTACAGCAGCCTCAATGATAGGAATCAAAATCATGCATTTAATTACACTAAATTTAATAACAAAAGATATTTGTAGATTTAATTTTTTTTAAAGTAAGAAATTTAAACATCAATGAGAAATGAGATAAACAGCTCTGTACTGACTCTAACAAATGACTTGTATTTTTGGGAAAATTTGTCAATGTACCGGGTACAGTTATAAAACTTGTAAACAAATTATATAAGTATTATATTTTTAAACTGAACGTAACCTTCATAAAATCCCAATGAAAATCTCCTACATCGGATGGATAGAGCTTTTACTTTTAGAATAAAGTGATGGGAAATGAAGAAAGTTTTGTCAGTCATTTCATAAAAATCATTGCATAAATTTGATTTTTTAAATTCTTCAAATGACCTTTTACCTAGTAAGCACCAATGTTCCTTCTAACTTTTGGGGGAGCTGAGCGCCCAGATGTTTTGCTAAATATTTTTAAATTGTGAAAGAAAAAAGCTAGCTGTCATGACGATAATGACATAATATAAAAAATGCAAAATTAGAAATTGTCTTTAGCAAGGGTTAACAACTGTGTATAGATTCAATCATAAAGACTACAGCAGGGGTGGCCAACCTAAAAGGCTTCACAGGTCATTAGATGGTGAGTCAACTCTTTGCAGGCTGCATGTCAATACATCTATCAACTAAAATAAAATATTTGTTGTACGTAATAATGCACACAAATTTTCAAATTATAACACATTTATTGCCATACACATAAATTGTACACATTGTAATTGAGAAATAACTCAAAATATATAGACGATATAAAAAGATGACTGGCACTGTCACTTTGATTCACCAGGTTGTGGGAAGGGGAGGGGGGATATGGAAAACCGACCGATGTCTTGCCGGATCCTTCGAAATTTTTGTATTAACTTAATCTTTAGGGATGCACTTAGTCCCATTTCTGACTTTATTTTTTGCATCATTCTTCTACAAATAATTGGAGAGCTCAAGGAGAAATTCTAGTAAAAATATAGGTGCCCCTTGACCTGGTTGTGCTTATACAAATCAAATCTTTTATTTTTAGTTACGATTTTAGATCACTAATTTCAATTGAATTTTTTTAAACCATATCAAAATAGGGCCCATGTACAGTTGCGTATTGTCACCAAAAAAAGAGCAAATGGAATGCAGAATTTCATTTACTACACATCTGGCGGGCCACAACATTTAAAAGAAGTTTTGGTTTATTGGCTTTGTCGACTGGTGAGTATGACAGGCTCACCTCACCCATTAGGCTGAAAGCATCTATAGCAATTGGTGTAAAAATGTAATTTTTTTTTTTTAAAGTGAACTAGAAAAATAGTATTAAATAATCATAATATTTTTTATTTATTAAATTTACTGGGTGCAGCTTAGGTGGAAAATTTGTTTTTGATGAGCACTGTTAAAAAATACCATGCCCTTTTATGAACTGAAACTGTATCAAATAAGACTACAAACCCAATTATTTTAGTGTAGAATACTTCAATACAAAAGCTGTAATATTTACAAAAATAAAATGTACATTCATTTATCAGTATCAAATAAAGAGATTCATTTAAGGGATTTTCTTCGTATGTAAACAAAAATCACTGACATTAATGTTTTGTGCTTTTTTTATCAGTTTACATTAATAATAATTATGACATTGCTATTCTGCTGCTTATTAACAGATATAATGCCTTCACATTTCACACAGACATCTGTTTCACACAGATGTCTGATTCACACAGATGTCTGTTTCAATTCAAATACAATTGTTTTCTGGTTATTCCTGTGTTTGAGCAAACCTTCCATGATGAGGTAGAGTGTGAGGGCAAAAATACAAAAAGCCAGCATAATGTAAATTTTCACAGTCATGCACAAACTGTTTGAGTATCCAAACAAGATGGCCACTCCAAGTCCTTGAGCCACACGAAGTCCAGCATATGCTTCTTCATACTTGTCGGGGAATATAATGCCCACTAAACCTGAAATGAAAGTTGCCATTTTTTACAAATCCGACTAAAATAATTTTAATAGTGTTCCATTGTTATGTGCAAACATTTTTGAAAACAAAGACCTACTTAAAAGATGAGCAAATTTTTAATGGTTATCTATTTTAAATAGCTAAATAAATAAAAGTGCAAATAGTTTGTTGGCATCTACACAAACACTAAGAAAAACATGTTTTTTTAAATCTAAACACCAATATTTAGTAACTTCGTCAGCTGTGTGAAACATTTTTTTTTTAAATTCGACAACTTCTGTTCTCATTAATCACCCCATAACTAATATGAACATAAGATAAGATTCTTAATTTGATCCAAATAAATGGAAATGTTTTTTAATTGCAATGTACATATTCATTTTCAGCACTTAAATAATACAGATTTTAACCAAGACAACATTTTACAATTATAACAATTTAAACACTAAACATCTAAGTATTTCTCTAGCGTAGAAATCAGCCATTAATGAACTCCCTTAGTGACATAATGGCTTAATTTGTGATCATTTAGATTTAAAAATCGCTGAGGGTACACACTGGTAAATTTGTACAGACTAGGGAACAAAAGAATTTGAGCTGATAATATGTATCTGTGATGAAGAGGGTTGGATGTATTGTCCAAAATGTTTTAGTTTTACAATAGTGAAGGGTGTTTAGTTTGAATGATATTACTAGCTTTCTTGATTAGTCTATTTAATCGGTGTTTGATGTCTGACGATGAATTCCCATACCAGCAGGTAATACTGAAGTTCAGTAAGATTCCAATTGTTTCACTATAGAATAAGTTAACAACTTGTTTATTTATGCCGAAATTGTACAATTTTTTAAGATAGAAAAGTCTCTGAAAAGGCTTTTTGATATACAGATTTAGCTTGTTATTAATGATGACACCAAGGTACTTGCTCTTTACAGTGATTTTTTTATTGTGAGATCTGCAATTGGGTGATTCACATTCCAGAAATCGACAACCGTTTCTTTCATTTTTGAGACATTCAAATGAAGAAAATTTACATCATGCCAACTGACAAAACTTGTAACTATGTTGCCGTATAAGCCTGAGCCTTCAGATATATAATTGACTCATAGCTGTACCACCTCCTCAAAATATAAACATTTTAAATTTTGAGAAGGAGGTACAACTATGAGTCAATATATAAACATTTTAAATAATGAATTGCTAAAAAATGTTTATTATAATAAAGCATAAAGCATTGACAGATTCCTCATGGTCATAGTACAAAAATCTATAAATAACTTCAATCAGGATAATTAATATTTGAATGGAATGTCACTTTATAAACACTTGACTATGTTAATGACCAGTTAAGTGTTTAGATTCTCAATACACAATTTGTTTGATATTAACACATAATTATAATCCTCCTACTCCATTTTCTAAAACTAATTATTCTTTTCCCACGGCAGAGAACATGTTATAAAGCTGATAACTTTACTGTCTAACAAACTTTTTTTATGTTTATAGATTTTCTAGAAGAGTTGTGTAAAAAAAAAAAACGTTCACTTGGGAATTGAATCATTTAGATCAATGGGTGCAAATGTTTTGACTTAAATAATGTGAACCTAAAAGCCTAATGTAACACTGAGTTGGAAAATATGTCAAGTCTGCACATTGGAGGCAATATTTAACCCTAAAAGGATTTTTAGGTGGTGTCAAGCCTTTTTTAGCATTTCCATATTATGCTTGTCAAAAATGACAAAATCTCATAATATTCAGAGACCCTTACAAGTATACATTTTCTGAAATTACATTGGACAGGAGATCTTAATGTTATGAAAAGAATTTGTTTTTATATTATATATGTTGATATTGACATTGACCTTTAAAGAGTGAGTAAATTTTACAACTCAACTTCTGCATTCACATTTCAAATCAAACTAACACTGAATACATTTTTCAAACTAATATAAAATAAAGTTTTTGAGATAATAGAAGCTATATTCTTTCAGAAAATGTCAAGATAGAAGTATGTGTATTAAAAATTGTAATTTTCATGAATTTCTTTTGTTCACAATCTTCCAATTTCTGTCATAACAAATACAAGGGCGAGGCATGAAATGAGTTCAAAAATTCCTTTTCAATTGTTATTCAATCATTTTTGTGTATCAATTAATACTCCAGAACATACACACATACATAAATGTCTTTAAATCTCATTAGGGTAGGTATTTGGGATCCAATCTTTGTCTTTTCTGTTCCATTTCCCCTCTTTCCCATAGGACTTTTTCTTTAACAATGCAACTAAGCTTAAGACTAAACTTGTCAATATCTAACTCTGGGTACCCTCTCCAGCATCAAACATTATGGCAGTAAAAAAAATTAGCCAATTTCACACCTAATTAATCGCAAGACAAGGCCATGTACACACAAAGAGAAGCATAAATAGGATGCAAATTCAATTATATAAAGTGACTTCCCCTTAACCACTAGAGATTAAATCATTAGCATTCTTAATGCCGATTTTGCTAGCAGTCGAACATGACTCCACAGAAAGTGGTATTTATAGGGTTGAAATAAATATAGAAACTTTCAAGATTCTTAAGCCCCAATGTCAGTTGCATAACGTTCCTTATATACCTGTACTTACAAGAATCACCATTAGGGTGCACCTCCAACAGAGTCTAACGTATAAAACTTTTGACATGACCAACTAGAGCCTACTTACAATTGACTTGGCTGATCCATATACCGTCTGCCAGCCCCCATGTTCCAATCATGATGAAGTAAGGGATCAAAGAGTCCAGGGATGGCTGCCACTGGCTCATGAACATCAAGACACAAAAGTTTAGGATCGCAGCTAGAAAGAAAAGAATTAATAACGTAACAGAACATGGCTTTGAAACTTAACTTAAACTGGGCAGTTTTCAGAGACGCATGGGCACAATTGAAACCAGGAAAATGGAAATTATTATTTGGTATATCTTGGTTACTCACATGATAATCCTTACCTTTTTGGGCTAAAAAAATGTGTTGCTTTTTAAAAAATAGTAGCTGCTTGCATAACAGTGAGCAGATATTTTTCAACAAGTCCAAGTGCAAAATAGAAAGAGAAATTTATGCTGGTCATTTATGCTGGTCATGGTAGGCCTGGAGGCAGTTCCCAAATTTTATGCACTATTAGTGTGTACAATTTAATTCACATTAACTAATATGTACAAATACAACAAATGTACACAACTACTGGTATCTTGCATTTGGTTAACTGTATTAGAAATACATGAAGGCTAAACCTACATCATTTGTGTTGGGGGGGGGGGGGGGGGGGGTAATGTCTCATTATGGAGATTTTGCACAAGATCCTGCTGATATTAGATCAGCCCTGCAAGTGGTGGGAACTTGAGTAAACATCAATGCATTCTAAAGCGCCCACATTTATATTCCGGTAATTACATGCTCTCTGAATATATTTCCTATCATAAAGTTCTCCTGTAATCCTTGAACAGTTCTATCAAGTTGCTGAATATGAGCATAGTACCACACATTTACACAGCAAACAATACATAACTATTGTCTTATAAGCAAAGCAAAAAGTAGTGCATTAAAATTTAAAAATGATTACATTAAAATACATGTATTAATTTACACTGAACAGTCCAATGACAAAATATTCCTTGTAAAATTTGGTTGTGAAATTAAGAGCTTTTTATTTTAAAAAAAACAACAATTTTTACACTAAAATATATAAAGGAAGATTATAATTTTTTTTAAATTAATCGTTGCAATATATATAATCTTTCATAAAAAAAGCTCATAAATATTTGTGATGGTTAGTGAGCACAATCAGTGCAAAATAAAACCTTCAAGATAAAATTTAAATAAATATTATCTTTAAGATGTCAAAAGATGTTATTTGTCATTTTTGTTCATGCCTTTATCTGTAAGTATCTTTTTTCTCACACAATAGAAATAATTTCTCTTGGATGCAAGAAATATTTTTATATTATGTAGAGGTCTATCTTATATATTTTTGATTCTTTCAAAATGTGAGTCAGACTTATTGAGCACTAAGAAGTTAAACATTACAAGCCTGTAAAATAAGGAGTTTAAAAATACAAGTATTTTTTTTAGAAAATTAATTTTTTTTTTTCTTCTTCAAATTTCATTTCAAGCATGAATAATAATAACAAAGCCTCTGAGGGTGATGCATTCAACTGATGACGTAAAGAATTCCTTACAGAAACACAACAGCCCTGAGAGTTAGTGCAGGCAGCTGGGTATGTGTCAAATAGTTTAAAATAAATGAGTATCTGTCATTCATTATGTAATTTGTAGCCAGAGAGATAAGATAAATTATGCATTTAAGACATACCAAATTTTAAAATCCATTATAGTTTTGGTTTATGCTCAGACGATGAAGATCCAAACAGTCTACTATCGTTTAGCTTGACATTTTTTTTTCCAATCAAGCCGTCAAGAAAAACTGCCCAGTAAGTTTATGCAGCCCTAACTTGCTGCTGATTACCCATGGGGGGAAAAAGGGTGCGAGAAAAGTTAGGTGTTCTCTGCTGAGCTTACCTTTGACCCACAATGCCTTAGCTGTGAGGTGCAGAGAAACCCAAACTGTCATACATACCATAGCTAATGTAACTTTCTTGATCCTAACAAAAAATGCCTTTCATCCCAGGTCTGCGTGACCCGGTGGATTAACTTTGCCAGTGACACTATCCCTTTAGCACCTGGCGGCTCAATAGTTTGCGTCTGTAAGAATGGTGGCTAAAGGCTTCGTGTCAAAGAAATCAAGGCTGTTTGAGAAAAGACTCTCTATCACACAATATGAGATGAGTGTGGTGTAATGAGTTCAATCTCTGCTTAAAGGCACATCAGGCTTTCAACAGATTTTGGGGGAGCAGGGCTGAAATTAGAACGAAGATAAAGAGCTATTGAAGTAGACGTGGGAGGTTTTGGGCAGCAAAAACGCAATGAATGGATTATGTCGCAAGGCAACATACAAGCTGAAATTCTGGAGAAGCTCGGCCGCTAGAAAAAATAAACCTAATTTAAATGAGAAAGAAAATTAGGTACATATAAATAAAGGGTCTGCTTGGCTTTTACTCTGTTTACATTGTGCATTAGCATTTAATTTTATAAGACTGGATACATGTTTTAAATTTAAGTTTAAAAAAATTATATTTATGGAAACCATAGAACTAAATTTTGTAAGAGCTTGTATACATTTAAAACAATAAAATCAATATCAATTATCAGATACATGAAATTTTTAAAAAAAAATTAAATTGCAAATAAATGTATCTACCGTTTCAATACAAAAAATATAAAATCATTTAGGACAACTAGAAAAATTAAATTGATTCAACCTACCAAAAATGAACAGTGGGGCCCTGCATATGCACTTGCTGAAGAGTCCGCTGAGGTAGGAGCTGAAACTGCCACAGATCCCATAGCAAATCATTGAATAGCCCACCATGTGGATGCCCAGTGGACAAGTAACAAACGCCTGTTAGAAGATAAAAAGGGAAAAGATTACAAGAGGGAAAAAAATTACAAAAAAAAAAAAAAATGGTGATCACAAAATGATTACAAGAATTTTTAAAATAAGAAATATTTGTACCGGTACAAGATGCACAGATTTAAACAAACGCCTGTTAAAAAAAAAAAAGGGAAAAAATTAAAAAAGGGAAAAAAATTAAAAAAAAAAAAAAAAATGGTGATCACAAAATGATTACAAGAATTTTTAAAATAAGAAATATTTGTACCGGTACAAGATGCACAGATTTTCAGATCTATACAAACAAAATGTTAATTCTATCATAAAAAAAAAAAGATTGCTACAAAGTTTCTGAAAAAACAATGCCAACTTTTTTTTCTAGATAGCTAAAACAGTGTCTCTGATTCTTTAGCTCTATGACTTACCATAGTGACATCAGCAGAGATAAACCCAAACTGCATGAGAGAGTACATCAGGAGAGGCAGCATCAAAAGAAAGTCAACATCCTTCACAAACTTGGACAAGGATATTAGTTGCTGCTTCAATTTTTCAAATGGTTTCCCATCGGAGGTGAAATATTTTTCATTTAAAGGTTCCAAAAAGTAGCCGGCTATTACCATTGACAAAAGTATACAAGCCATGTACACACTGAAAAGAATGTATTTGGTTTCATTCGCCACAGAGACGGCCGCACCATTCAGCTTATAATTACTACAAAAATTGGCGCCACACAGTCCAAGTTCAATCAAACTAAAATTATGTGAGCCGTGCTCAATAACAGCTGCTGCTTCAAAATCCGCTGGTAAAACAGAATCCACAGGCAGGTAAACCTCGTCTTGTTGATTCAATGTGACCGACGTGTTCAAAATTTCAGCAGCCAGTTTGGTATTGTTCAGTGGACCACCTGAAGATCCAGAAATAAGCACCAAAGAAGAGATTAGATTTCCTATGACATGGTAGCTCTGGTAGATGAGACAAAATATACCAAAAAAATGGCTGGACACTTTCTCAAAGCTTTCTTGCTGCTTCTGTGCCTCACCCCTGGACAACAATGTGATGTATGTGCTCATGGCATTCCAAATAATGGCCATGGACACACCCTGCGCAAGTGAGACTGGGGTCATGAGCCACATGGTGGGGTAAATGTTGGCAGCAACATACAGCAGATTGGGAATCAAGTTGATGACAACACATTTCCATGGCTGGAAACGCTGGACCACTGTGATGCTGATCACACTACCAACCATGTAACCGACAAAACTAACAGCCATGGAGATAATACCAACTCCGCCTGCCTGGTTGAGACTGCTCTGCAGATTCCTGACAGATCCAACGGCAATGAACATCAGGGTGATACTAATACTAAGAGCTACAAGATTTTGTTTATGGTTTCCACTGGGAATAACATTCAGATCGTAGGGATTTTTATCGAGACTTTGTGAAGTTTCCAGGTCTTTGGCAGCCATGTTGTTAAGGGAGGCAAGAGAGCCTAAAGTCAAGTCATCTTTTAAGAAGATCAGGGCTTTCTGACAGGCCCTGCCGACTTTTGAAACTTCTGTTAAATCCAGGAAGCTAGACCTCTCATGCAGGTTCTGCATTGTCGGTGCCCGTTTGTTATCTATATTCAATTCTGGATCTGTTAAGTTGATCTGGCTTTGGAAGAGAAAAGATTCATCCACCACTACCAAGTTATTTGTAATTTTGGCAAATTTCCCTTGTTGACTCTCACACAATAGGGGGACTTTGGCTTCTTCTTCATAGTCTACATTTGGGGAACGATGAGATCCAACAACTGGGTCAGGAAAGGAGGTAAACAGTTTTTCCAACAACTGAATACTTGTATCTGGTTCATAATTTTGGATGTTGGCATCTCTCTGCAAATGAAAACTTTCATTATTTAAAAATGGTGGTCCTTTGATATGAGCATCTTGACAGAGAACAGTCTCCGAGTTTTCAACTTCTGATTTATGAAGTCCTTGGTTGCCATTATGAACAACAAACCCTTTGTTATAAAATATGTCCTTGACCTTCTCACTGACTCCATCTCCGTCTGGATAGGGTTGAATGAGGTAATCTGTGCTAGACACGCTTGTAATAGTGTCTGTGTATGAGTTGTTGAAAGCCTCATGTGTTGATGGCATGGATGATATAATGTTTGAACCATCAAACATGTTGCTGCTGTCATGGTAATCCACTGATGAGGGTTGTATGCACTGTTCAACTTTAATGAATTCTCCATGTGTGGATCTTTTATCACTATCCATGTTTTGTGAATTGGTGGTAAATATGAGATTTAGAGACCTCAAACTGAAATCTGCACCTGTGGAAATGAATAAGAAAATGGTTATGTTAACAGAGCTGAGACATAACAAAACTTGCAGAAAATCTATTCTAAAAGCATTATATTGTGTTAATGTAAGACTCTCCCCCCATGACTCATTGCTAAACTGCTCAAAGTAGTAAAACTAACCATTTATTTTTAATTAACAAGTTTCAAAATATTTTCAATTCAAGTTATTTCATTAACTATTTTCATTCCTCATATATAGAGTGGAACCTTTCTATATGCAGTTATTTTCACCCATAAAATTTCGACTTTATTATTATTTTTTTAACTATTCTAGACTATATTTTTTTTAATGGTACAATTGAAAGAAAAATAATTTAAAAGAAAAGATTAAAAAATGTTGATATGTTTTGCAAGTTTGAGAAACTGACATGACTAATAGAGTCGCCAACGTAGGCATGTTTCTTACAAGCTAATTGGCGTAGCAGATTTTCGCTATGACAATGAACATTACTGGTGAAGGGCTACAGTGAGCCAGATTCTTCTTCCTAAAGATTTTTCAAGATACTTTTAACACTGGATTTGGTTGAAACATTTGTAAAATATACCAGTTATTCGTCTACCAATGGGACCTTCTAAAACTTCCCTTTAATAGAGGTTGGTTGATATTTCAACATATGAATTGTTCAAATTTCTTGGAACTCTAATGTACATGGCAACTGTACAGTTCCCCGGTGTACAAAAACAGTGGTCAGCTTCAACAATGTACCATCATAGATTTGGGGCTAGTGCCTTTATTCTTCAAAGTTTCTAATATTGAAAAGGACAAACTGTGCAAAGTGAATTTGTTGCCTGACTTTATCAGAAGAAAATTAAAAAAACAAAGCAAGGGGATATGTAACAAACCACAGATAATGAAATTTTAACTCTTCTGCCAAGAGATAATCATTTCAAAATATATGAAAGCAAATGGATTTTCTTTTGTGAACAGAACCAAAACTTATGGTGGATTTAGGCAGTTACAGGAAAGGCCACCAATTATTGTCAAATCATACAGTTCATTCATATGTGGTGTTGACCAGTTGATAAATGGATATATCACCCCATGGAAAACAAAACAGTACTGGATAACCCCTTTTTTCACAGATACTTAGGATCGGGCGGTTCGGGGCGAATTCTTTCCATCATGGCCAGGACTGACAGATATAAAAATTCTTTTGTTCCCCAATCTGTACGAATTTACCGGCATGCTTTCTCTGAAGTCCCACATCTGAATGAGAACTAATAAGTCCCCGATTTTGCTAAGAGAACTCACTGAATGGCTGTTTGAAATAACTTATTATAAATGTCTTGTGTTCAAATTGTTTTATTTTTTAGCTGAAAATGTACAATGCAATCAAAAAACATTTCCATTTATTTGGATCAATAAAAGAATCTTATCTTATCTTATATTGTCTGCTATAATTATAATCCTTCAGGATTGCTGAAAAGAACATCCTGACTTAGATAAACTAAAGCTAATTAACTCCTTACTCCTGTCTGATTTCACAGAGGAACATTAGGTGGAACTGGTGTTCCAAGTGCCTCAAATGTAAATAACATAACATACAATAGAATACATCAAATAATTGCTAAATGCACAGATTTAAAAAATAAATTGTAAAATGTGCTATAAATTAGGGATGCAAAAAAAAAAATTATCTTCTTCAAAAAAACACACAAAAAACAAGAAACAGGGCTTGAATATAGCTTGAATTGTCTACTAATGATATGTTTTGATGTGTGTAAATAATTTTTAAGAGGTAAAATAATAATAACCTGTAATTCTTGTGCATGCTTTGCGAAGGAGTAGGGAATTTATTTTTTTTAAATTATATTTCCCTTTTTTTGACACTTTACAAAATATTTTATATTTTGGTCCAATGCTCATAAATTGACAACTTCTAAGTCTAAGTGTTCAATTTATATGTTTGGAAATTAACATTTAGAAGCCTCGTGCATTCCTTACAAATTGATAAGTAACATCACAAATATTTGACATGGATTCTAAAAGTAATTAACTTTTTTTGTAAGGTGACTAGAAATGTCAATTTTAACAAATGAAAAATTCAAGTAATGAAAAGAGCAAAATAATATTATTAGGCATATTTTATTGATGAATACATCAAATTAATGTGCATTGTGCACAAGTAAACCTTGGAGCTGATTGGACATTTATTACAAATATTAGAAAATATTAAAAAATTGTTGGAAGCTGAATGCAAATTAAATTGGTACCAAAGCATGTGCTTTGTTTTAATGACTCCCATGTACTGAACAATATCTGGGGCTGTTGGCTGGGTTCCAACATATGGAGCAATTGGCTGGGTCCTGAAAAATATGTGGAAATTGGATGGGTCCCCAAAGACTTATTTTGAATGTACAATATTATAATATTATAAACTTTAATATTTCCCCCATTGTTTTACTTCCAAAAGCTTCAAAAGTTTCCTTTTCAACAATTTCCCACACATACATAGTGTAGTAGTGTAGTGCTAACCTCAATGAGGTGGTCACTTATTTTTACTTTGATTTATCTGTCTAGCAGTACTGCTAAGCCTACACTAGTGATGCACTCTTGTGTGAGAGAGTAGCAGTCCTCAAGACCAGCCAAGCACAACCAGTTTAGGGGGTGGGGGGTGTCCCGTTTTATTATCAGTAACAGGGTGTACCATGTAAGTACAACAATATGGAGATTTTTATAATAAATAGACAGTTTTACATTTTTAAATAATTTTTTTAAATGGCAAAAATCAAAGAAAAAGCACCCACTTATACTTAATAAGCCCCCTTGATACAAAGAGGCTTCATGACACGAAATTGGCACCACTGCTTCAGGGGGCTGGAGAAACACAACATTGTTAGGTCAAGGTAAATAATGGTGCATTGCTTATTCTTTCTCCTGTCTGAACTGTCTATCGATACACACAACACATATTCTTTGCAACCTTCTTCAAATGAAGACACACCCTAAAATATATTATTAGAAACCTTCTAATATCAAACTGTGTAAGCGTCAGTTGAGTAAGCTCTTGTTAAACTTTAAAATTTATAGGCCCTTCTCATTTATTAATAAAATGATATAGTGGTATAGGCCCATTGACTGCAGATGTGGTGGATATATTGACAATGATGGAGAGGGTTGGACCTGATTTGGGTAAACAAGGGACAGTTTGTTTTGTTGTTTTTTTCTGGCCCCTGGATCTGATATTCAGTCATTGAAAATAAATTAGGTAGGACATATGATATAGGCTATATAGGCAATATAGACATAATAAAATAATATATTATGTACAAGCCCAGTGGCGTATTTTGACTAATGCCTATTAATACTATTATATTATTATTAATAATTGTATGAGTATGGGCCTAGTATGTCTGGTCACCCAAGGCAAAAGTGCCCCCTAGGGCACTTGCCCCCTTCTTAGATGGGAAGCGTTATACGCAGTCGGCTGCGTATAACCCTGAGAGTTATTCATAGCCGACTGCGTTTAACTCTCAGGGTTATACGCAGTCGGCTGGGAATTTAGCCAAATAAGGTTTATTATCGCTTGTTTGGCAATTAAAAAAAAAAGTATTATACGTAATGAGCTGCATGACGGGTTGTTTTGAACTAGAACTTTGAATGTGTTGAACGTAAAATTTTAATTGAATTAATTTTAATTAATATTGAAAATGATGATAGCAATAGTATTAGTGCTATTATTAGTATTATTGCTTGTATTTGTATCTTATATATTATAATTATAATTATAAGTATAAGTCAAAGTCTACATTTCTTAGAGTCTAAGCCTAAGTCTTAGATTTTTTTAAAGGCATTTCCATGGTCTAAGTCTAGTTATGTATTTTGATTGATTAGGTTTTTATATTAATATGTTGCTATGACTATGTGGTTGGCTTTACTGAATAATTCAGGAAATACATTCTATTTATCTTTTTTTTAAATTTTATCAATTATGATTTTATTTTTTTGATGACCTAAATATAACAGTTTTCAGCTTCCATGCAAAACTATAACTGTGTGAAAGTATTACTTACACTGACCCCTCTACAGAACCCCGGCCCCTATCGGGCGATTTTTTTCCTGCTACTCTCAACCCATGATTATTTTTATTACTGTACCAGTGAAACATGATTTTATCTGCCACAAAATTAGTTAACAACACAAACATATTTTGATAATTATAAGTATAACATTATTAACATTACATTCGTCAAGTTAATAAATCTTCTCATGTTTTAACATTTTTTAGCCAAAAAAAAAGTAAAACAATAAGCCTAGTTGTTGCTTCATTCTCGAGAAAAAGCATAGCAACTAACGTGTATTCATAGCTGGAATTGAACTCAAGACCACCAACTTGAGGTTTGGTCAGTTTAGACCATTCGACCACACAGTCACCCGATATTAAGCACCCTTATTGATTGATACTGTAACACAGGAAGAATATAGACCTCACGTGACTTGCCGACTGCGTATAACTCTCAGGGTTATACGCAGTCGGCTGCGCATAACCACTTCGTTCTTAGATAGATGGATAGATAGATGATAGACAGACCACTTCTTTGAATAGTTTCGCAAAAGGAATCTTTTATTCGGTAAACTATATCTAATACTAATATCTATGCATAAATAAAAATTAATGTATGTCCCGTATGATCTCCTATACCATTCATCCGATTGCGCTAAAACTTTTGTGAGTTGTTGTACACACGCCGCAAATTTTTCTGAATTATTACACACATTTTACAACATTTCGTTTTGGGCCAGGGGCCCTAAATTTATTATTTTCTTTTATGAGCTAAATATAATTTCCTTTTGCATTCTTATACCATTCATTATCCTATTTGGTAAGTTGTATAGGTTATTAATTTTGAAATATTTCTTTTTGAGCAGCGGGCCCTAAATTATTTTCTTATGAGCTATACAAACATAATTTCTAAATAGAGTTTTTGTATGGCTGGATGGAATTGAATCAAATATAAGCGACATTTCAGTTTGTGTGTGACATAATAAGTGGGTTTCACTGTCACTGACACTGATTTCCGAATTAGTTCAACCATTTCACAATTTTACGTTAGGGCCAGAGGCCTAATTTTTTATATATTTTTAATGTGAGCTATATGAATATAATTCTAAACAGAGCTACTGCATAGGCGGATCAAACGCTACAAGTGTGTAGTGTAGACTACATTTTCATTTTGAAAATCCATGCTTCTCAAGTGGGTATGTAGCTGTTGCCTGCTCACCTTCGAAAAACCTAATTATAATTTATTTGTGTATGCACCAGACAGAAAAGAAAATATATTTTCTATTTAAAAATTACTCCAAAAACGTAATTGAAACACAAGCACTTATTTTCTTTGAGTGGCATTGCAACGCATGCCGGATTCTCGCTAGTAATTAATTATTGGGCGGCTAGGCTAGGTGACTTGAAGTCGTCTTAGACCTTACTTTACTTTAACTTAGAAATTTGTTGTTGTTTTTTTTTTTTGTGTGTGAATAATCAATAATAATGAAAATCTTTCCTCTGCTTAATTTCTCCCCTGATAAAATTTGAGACAAAACTAATATACAAATATTAACTTACCGCTTTGTAATATTAAATGTGTACCCTTCGACGATCAGATCAAGCACTGGGCACAGACCGCCACTGAGACGTCTCGCCAACACAGCTTAGGTAAACTGCCTACACATCGTGTTTTGGCGGTGTTGTGTTTGGATAAACGCACTCATCAACACCAAATATCTGCCACGATTGCTGAGCGGCAAAAAATGCACTTCTTTGTTTGTACGAAATAATGTTATATAATATTTTTTTTAAAATTATGTGGAAATCTGTTTTTAAATGTATTTTTAAAGGAGGATGTTTTATTTGAATTGTTTGGGGTTTGATGTATTGGAGCCTACATTGTAACGCCAGTAGTAACGGGTTAAACATAGTTACCAAATTCAAAGTGCAGTTCGCTGCCCTGGGGCTGGTACCTACACGCCTACACTACAATTCATCAATATTTAAAATATAATTTTCAAAACGCAGGTGGCTATGACTATGCTCTTTAGTTTAGGTTCGATGAGGTGAAGAGTTTTGTTTTGTTTGTTTAATTATTATCTAAATAAACGCATTTATTTTTATATTTATTTCTGTAGAACAAAAAAGTATAGCCTTATAGCCCAATTCGCGCTTGAATGGCTTGATCTACAGCTCCACAATCCAAATAGAAATTATTCCGCGTCCACAGAAGATGACTTTAAGTTATTAGTATTGACCATCGATAACAAATGCTTATTTGGTACAGGATTTGTTTTCTTTCTCATTATTTTTGCTTTGTTAGAAAAGATTATGATGTTGGATTTTCTTGGGCCGATTCTCAGGTCCCGCAGTCGATTTAAAGAGGTGCCCCATAAGCCAGGCCTGCACAACATGCGGCCAACGGGCCGCATACGGCCCGCTAGCACCACTTGGCGGCCCGCAGAGTAACGAAATATTCTTTATTATTATTATTATTTTCTTAATAGCGCCCCCCCCCCTCTTTCCTGTCCTATCATATTTCGGCCCGCACAAGTTTTTCATGAAGTATTACGGCCCGCCTTACATTTTGAGTTGTGCAGGCCTGCGAAAAGCCATAAGATGCTTTTTTAATTATCACGAAAATTTGGGAGCACAATCGAAATCCTTTAGAAGTTATTTATTTCAATTTAAATTCTTAAGTTGCCCCTTTAATTTTAAAAGGGGTCAGTAGATTTTCAATTATTAAAATTGTGCCCCGGCGAAATGGGGTAGACCCTAGATATTACAAGTTTTATTTTTAAATCTGGCAGTATTTTATAGCTGGATAACGAGGGCTATGCCCACAAAGGTAGGACTAGATCCATCAATCCCGTAGAAATCTCTATTTGTACTTGTATTTCTGTTGTTTGCATGAGGAAAAATCAACTTGGACCCCCGGCCCCGAAAAGCGTTATTTTATGATTTTTAAGCATCATATTATATGTGAATGCACTTTAGTATTTAAACTGAAAGTCCATGAAGTGTTCATGGCAATTTTGTTTTCTTTCGATGAATTGTCTGTGAAATCTCTATCAACCAATGAAATGTTTTGTCGATGTGTCGGTCAATGAACGGTAATCCTAAAGTAGTGTTTAAATTTCTCCCTCCAATATTTTTTTTAACAAAAATATTAATGATAATATTTATTTGTATAAAACAAGGATTTGGAGCGGTGCTCAAGCTCAGGAGCAGGGTCTTTTTGCTAATTAAGTTTTTAAAATTTAATTTAAAATTATAATGTGTACCTTTTAATATTTATAATTATCAAAATTGATGCCCCACTCTTTTACCAGGCATGTTGCCCCAATTTTGTACACTACAGCTAACTTGCCCCAATACTCTACACCAGTGGTCCCCAAACACCGGGCCGCGGACCGGTACCGGTCCGTGGATCAAATGGTACCGGGCCGCTCAAGAAACATTAAATTATTTCCATTTTATAAGCTTGCCAGATTTTCTGGATGATAAGTACGGACTTAGGGACACAGAGGCTCACAGCAACCGAAACCATACAGGCGGCTGGGGTGGGGGTGGTGTTTTTGTGCTTGATTTTTTTTTTTTTGGGGGGGGGGGCGTACAAGTAGCTTTTAGCCCCCATCCCTATAAAAAAACACCAAAGATATCAAAAGATTTAATGGGTAATTTTGACGTCACAGGATAATTTTTTTTTTTGTTTTAAATGAGTCGCGTGTCTATACAGCCGACAATTTGGCCAGTCCAGTGGTCCCCATATTATGCGTCGCTCTGGGTGCCATGTTGCCCTCGGGGAGAGCCATGAGAATAGGGCAAAGAGGGCAGTCACAGCGGGCACCAAATTCTTCTTTATATGGTATCTTAATAGGGAATTAAAATATCAACGGCGGAATACCCTGAGATCGCCACCACAGCACTTAAATCCCTAATGCCAGTTCCGACGTCCTATCTGTGTCAAGCGGGGTTTTCTGCAGTGACAGCAACCAAAACAAAACAACGGAATAAACTGGACATAAGCAACACACTTCGGGTGTCATTGTCTCCTAATGACCTCCAGAAGGAACCGTCTCCTTGCAGAGAAACAAGCTCAGGGTTCTCATTGATTTAGCGTTCTAGTGAGTTCAAATGATAAATCAGTTGATATTCATTTTTGGTGTAACTGTATTTTAGTTTGAAGGCATGTTTAACTACAATCAAATAAATATTATCAATCCAAAATATAAACAATCAACACCTCCAACCGCTCAGCGGGCCGTGTTAAAATTATCACACGTTGACCGGTCCGCGGCGATAAAAAGTTTGGGGACCACTGCTCTACACTACAGCTAACTTGCCCCAATACTCTACACTACAGCTAACTTGCCCCAATACTCTACACTGCAGCTAACTTGCCCCATTCTTCTACAGCTATATTGCCCACACTTATTTTTTTGTTTGCTCTGCTCCAAAACCCTGGTTTATGTACAGGCCTAAAGCCAATCCTGTGCCACCCCCAACCCAACCCAGTGCAAACCTGCTGGTGAATAATCCCAACAAAGATTTTTGTAAAGCAGCGGTTCTCAACCTGTGGGTCGCGACCCCTTTGGGGGTCGCTGGACCTTTTTCCGGGGGTCACCCAAGACCATCTGAAAACATATATCCCTACAGCTATGAAGTAGCAACGAAAATAATTGTGTGGCTTGGGGGTCGCCACGACACGAGAAACAGTATTAAGGGGTACGCGGCACTAGAAAGGTTGAGAACCACTGTTGTAAAGTATATAAATAAAACATTTTCAAGCAGTCACCAGCGGTTTAAACTGGCCTGGCACGAAGACCGGTCGAGTGATCTCAAAACTTTATCAGAGCCCTCACGTGTCGTCATCGTCATGTTATTTTTATATCTAACAAAATAGTTAAAGTGGGCAAAATTTAGTCAAGTGTATTATTCTATATTATATTTACAACTGCAATAAACTGAGGTAGGCAGCCCCCCCCCACCCCCCACCATTATATTCTTTATATTCATTGTCTCTTACTCTCTTAGCAGTAGATTAATTTGAGAACCTCAAATCAAATTACATATCGATCAATTGCATAATGTGAGTGTGTTTTTGTGCTTGTGTGCGTGCGTGTGTATATGTGTGTGTGTGTGTGTGTCTATACGTTCTGCGTGCGCGTATTAAACCCGGATTTTAAATTTAGATTTTAGAGCCGGTGTGGCCAACGACGACGCTAACTGGCATGTGTGGGTGGCCAGGTCATTGGACCTCTTACAACGTGCGGTGCCATTGGGCTTTCCCTAAAAGAAGACAAAAATAAAGTAAATAAATTGCACAACAATTCTTCTTCTTCTTCTATATCTTAAGGGCTGTCATAACTGGCAATCATTAAAACGTGTGCGACTTTTTGAGTTGATGAAAAGAAATGACTCATTCCGCATTCAATTATGTTTCAAGTATTAATAAACACAATATTTATTTAGTAGTAGTAGTAGTAGTTCATTAATTGAACGTACATAGATTGGGGCGAATTTTACTTTTATGTCCACGCAACTTTGTTTCTACATAAGATCGAAGCGGCTGTTCGGACCGGGAAAAGAGTGTGCGGTTGGGTTTATTGAAAAAAATAATTTTAAATATTGTTTTTGGGTTTGTAAGAAAAAATTTCGGTATCAAATGAAAGATAATTGAATGGACTATACGTTTGTAAATTTACTTCTTCGGTTTAACTAAAATAAACGACCATAAATGACATCTGAAAAGTATTTAGTCTAAAGGGACCCGATACGAATAGCAGCTATTCGGACCCGGGTCCCATTAGGCTAAATGGCTATTCAAATGACATTGGTGGTAATTTATTTTAGTATGAATTCTTGTGTCATCCTGTTCTTGTGTCATCCTGTTCGTGTGTCATCCTGTTCTTGTGTCATCCTGTTCTTGTGTCATCCTGTTCTTGTGTCATTGTGGCTCTCTGTCTGGCGGCAACTGCTCCAGTATTTAACTTATCAAGATACATTATGACACCGACGTCTGTCAAATGTGCAATATTCCATGTGGTGTCACCCCCTGTGATTGTGTCACCCACTGTGATTGTGTCACCCCCTGTGATTGTGTCACCCCCTGTGATTGTGTCACCCCCTGTGATTGTGTCACCCCCCGTTATTGTGTCACCCCCTGTGATTGTGTCACCCCCTGTGATTGTGTCACCCCCTGTGATTGTGTC